ATGAAAAAAGTACTTTTGAAAGGGCTACACATCACGGAGGTTTATCGTTTTATGAATATCGTAAACGATTTGCTATGTGACCGATCGTCACATTTTACAACAGTGCTGCAATAATAAGTTATACTAATGAGCGGATATTTCTAATAATTATTTATTCTGTATTATATTTGCTGGTTAAAAGAGTTATTTCTTGTGAGTAATGTCAAAGTACATACATCAAATTTTGTTTTTGATTAGAGGTGAAAAGTAAAGATATCGTTTCATCACCTTTAAATATACCTGCTCCTTCTGTCCATGCTTTATCGACTGTTAATCTTTCACCTGATAATATTTATACACTAAATCAAAAATCTATGCTACTATGGTTTTAATGTAGATGTAAGCAAAGAATAAGTATCGTTGACTGTTGTCTTTCATATGGTGTGCACTATAGCAAACCTCGAGACATGACAAAAATATAATAGTTTTATCTGCAAAATTATCTTCTTAATATTATTAGTATCAGACGATATCCTTTAAATATGTTAATGTATGAGCTTCACACATGTACTATGAAACGTTCAAAAGTTACGAAACAAAGCATATTATTGCATTTTCTGTCATACAGAAGTACACTTCAATTTCTTTACCGTAAAGATTACATATTTTTGGTGAAACAAAGTATAACAAGCGTTTTTCCATTTCACACATAAAACAGCGCCATACGTTAAGTCTTCTGTAGTACTTTTAACTGATTTGTGACGTTTAGTGTAATGAGTTCAGCCTCTTTATATTGTCTTTTTTTGGCATGTTCTAATGCATGAAAGATATTTCTTTTTTAGTTTTGTCGCTGCTTTTTAATTTAGTAAAACAGCTACATATTCGTTTAAAACAGCTCTTGATAATTAAACTGATGCCGTACTTATAATTATTCATCGCAAATAACTGAACATATTGTGATATGTCGACATATTGTCGTAAATATATTCCTAGCGGTCTCAATGAGTTAAAATCACATAAGAAAGAGTAATGTGTTACAAGTACATTTCTCCTATTAATAATGCATAATAGGCACGATAAGAGAGGGATAACAATTACATTTCGATTTAGTCAACTATAGAAACGAGTTCTACCATATCTGCGGGAATATAATGGTGGCGATTCGAGGATTTTTGTGAGAACTGAAAACTCATTTTCAAAAACTTCACCAGGAAAACGGTCAGAAAAACGAGTGGGGAGGAGCGAGTCCATTTTTTAGATTTTGTCACTGTTATACTCTGATTCGGGTCTGAGACGATTTTTTTCATAGGACCCCAAGACTATGGTCGTCTATTTTTCGATGTGTACTGCTTGAATCCTTCTTTCATGCGCTAGATTCGTAGAGCAGTCATTTCTCCTCAAAATAAGGTAATTCTGATGAATTGTGAAATGTGACTTGATGCACAATTCTGTAAGACGCAGTAGAAAAAGCTTTAGAATATTTTCCTACAAATCTTAAAATGCACCAACAAATAAACAGCTCAGGTTTTGTTAAGGATGTAAACACTGTAAAAAGTGCGTTTTAAATGTGTGATAAAATACAGAGGTTTTGATCGAAAAGTTTCACTTCATTTATGAGACTAAAAATCATCAACTAATTTATGAATCGTTTATGGATACTGATAGATTTAACTTCGGTGTGAATTTTACGACTAATTCTATCAAATAGGGATTGAACAGTGCTTGTTAACTAAACTGATGTCATTATTATAAAAGAGAAAAATGAATAAATTCTTAGTTGTATGGTCATTGAATTTTCTTTTCTTTATACACAAATAGTGTACACAAAACAAAAGAAATGAATGATTTCCTGTACTTCAGACGATAAAAATAAGATCATTATATGAGATCTTAAGAATAAGAGTGTACTATTATTCGGTACGATACGTTTTTCTTTACAACAATTCAGCGCAGTCTATTCGTTTTTTCGTTTGAAAGCTAAGGCAAGAGATTCACTTACGCGATTTATAATAATTGGTTTTTGTAGTCCAAATTCCAGTTGTCTACTTCTTCAGCCTTTACATTCGAGATGAAATTATGAAGAGAAAAATGAAAAATCGTGTAAGTCAAATTTGTAAGTCTAAGACAGACCAGAATTTTGCAACTATTTTTCTTTCTGATACCATATTGAATGTCTCGTTTTGCACTCTGTATCAACCCATAAATTCCTGATATGCACACGTAATTGGTGAACATTTTTATAACAATTTATCCATCTGATGGATTATAATCTCTGAAAATTTCATTAAAATCGATTGTACAGTGTAGAAAAAAAGGATTTATTGTGGAAGCTCTTAAATTAACAAAACATCATCGCTCAATTTAATTTTTTCTCATGACAAATCTCATTTGAAATATAAAGGTAAAAAGTATTCTCTCTTTCCTGTTAATACAGTATGAGTGAGAAAAAAATAACAGAGGTCGTATCCGTAGTCACATAGATTTTGATGGAATGAAAAAAAATGAATCAAATTTAAAAATTGTGTCATATATATTAAAAAAGAAAACAAAAAGAACATTTTGGACAAAAAAAAAAGAAGAAAATAAACGGAAATAGATGTGATTGTGAACATTTGAAATAGAAAGAGATATTGAAGAATCTTGGTAAGCTCTTCAACGCGTACATCAACTTTTGATTAGATGATCCCAAAAATAATTTTGAATTCATTCACAAAAGATCTTTTGTTTAACTCAATAGCGAGAATGAAAGAGAAGAATTGCAATATTTTTCTAAAAGCACTTAAAATTGCATTGAATATAAATGGTTAATGAGACATGAATTGATAAAACTAAAATAATATACTTTATTAATAAATCAGACAATGTATGCCAGAAAAAGTTGAGTTTTCAACCTTATTTTTTACTGTAAAGTGAAAAAATTCACCAATGTTCTAGCTCACGATATGTCAAGTCGGCATGTAAAATACATTGTTTGAAATAACTTTATATAAAACGATTAATCGACGTTTGAATGATCCCTTCTACAACCATACACATATAGTCTGCCGCGATCTGAGCGTCTTTTGAACACATCTGATTGCTTAAACTAGAACTGTGGTTGTTCAAAATGTAGTCCTAAATTTTTCCTAAATGTTTTCGACTGTTTGCGTTGTATTACATTTACCTCCGTGTTGTAAAAGAGAGGTTTTCTTGTGACTATAACATTTTGTTAAACTAATTTTCATCTCATAGATTTTCAGCTTTTGACTTGTCCGCTTTTTTTTCTCTCACTCAAACACGAAAAAAAGTCGTGAAGCAGGTACTTACATACAGATTGGGCGTACATTTATCGAACTTGAATCTAGCGACAGTGAAATATATGAAAATTTCATCTAGGTGCATTTAAACTGAAACGAGCTTCAATTGAGTGCAACTAGATGCTGTTGATTAATCGAGCGATGAACTGTCCGATGAGTTGGTCAATGCAGCGATACTTTAGTTAGAACACAATTTTGATCACTAACATTCGATGAATCAAAATTATAAATAAGAATTTTACGACTTTTACGTTCAACATGATTTCTAAACAAAAGTGATAAAAAGTTCCGGTCAGCATGCACCCAGATAAATGTACTTTTTAAACTAGGTGCAAGCAGGCGCTGCTCTAGTAAAATCCCTGTGAGTTTCCTGACAGGATCCGAGACATACCGATATTCTACTAAAATCTCGCTATAATTTCTTAGGATCCGCTTAAATCCTACACGATCCGACTGAGATCAGGTATACCCGAAAGTCATAGGATTTTTTAAGATTCTGTTAGGATCCTAAACAAACTTAATCAAAATCCTGGTAGGATCCTAGTATTTTAGGATCCTGCTAGGAAGACATCAGGTGGATCCTAAATATTAAGATCCTGTAAGATAGGAAATAAACAAGAAGTGCGCAGAATTTTGTCTAGAGTATAGCTATTACTGTAGCTCGATTTTCTCTCTTACTCAGTTTTACTGGGATACTACTCCTCCCATTTGATGAGAATTGCAAAATCTATTCAACTTGTTAATCGCAAGAAATGTCACATTGGAAACGCGTCAAATGTCGGTCGCTCACGCATCGATTGACGAGATAAACATGTTACGCAAAATAGAAACCTATTTGTGCAATGTGATTAGGCAATTTACTATCGAACTATGTCTAAAACTAAAAAATTACCTTTGCTCGGATGAGACTTTTTCTCTGAGAAGTCTACTTCCTTGCGGAAAACTAGAATAGTTCAATAAGCATTATGCTGTTAATTATCCTCCATCTCTCTCTTTTAACTTACGTACGCTTGCCTACGTTTTAGGACTTATCGTATCTTTTTCTAAGCATGCTATTGTACTCAATGTTCTATAATTGTCTGTTTAACTTTACTTTCTCTTGTGTAACATACCTTGTTTTTGAAAATAAAAAATATTTGAGTTAAGTCATTTCACGTCTGATAGTACCACAGTGACTGTTTTTTGTTTTGTTCTAAATTATTCAATGTTTTCCTTAATCATATTTGAATTAAGGATGAAAAAAAGGTGGGTATCGAGGCGTTGTTCGGGTAACAAAATCTTTTCTATTCAATTGTTCTTCTTTTTTCTTCTTTGTTTTTTCAATCATTTCTCCGATTATTGGTTTTTCTCATATATAGAGCGATCTATTATTTAAAATGTTATTTGAGAAAAAGCACATACACTACCGTGCGATATACGTTTACTTAAATATGTCAGAAAGAGAGAGAGAGAGAGAGAAAGAGAGAACTCTTCCAAAAATGCATATTTTTTTCTTCTTTTTCCCATTTTAACCGGAAGAACAATCGGTGATTTCTCAAATTCCTTTCCATTATAATTAAAAACATTTTACTCTCTCGTCTTGTTTCCGTATAGTCGATTAAAGATCTTAAAATGATGAATATAAAACTAGAAACAGTGTAGAGAGATATATATTTGAAAATAAGCATGCTTCATCAGCAACAGACAACTATACCACACGGATTTCCGCCGATAAAAAAATTTATCATGAAGACACCTGGTGCTTCACAATTTAAAAATACTCAACCATACAGAGTAGGTATTTACTTTGATCTTTTTTCATTATTATTGATCAAAGTGAGAACGATATACCGTTATTTTTTTTCGTAGAATAATCCGAATAAAGTCGGCGAATTAATACGGTTTATAGTCATTGATATTCTCTTTAGATCGGCATGGTTCAATATCTGCCAAAACCATTTCAAAATATAACAGCAGATTCGTATGATAGTGAAGATATTGAAGATGATGATCCTGGCCGTGAAGTTATTGAGAAAAATGCGCGTAGTCGTTTTCAACGCATTGCTGATGATACCAAAGATGAATTACAAAAAGTTCTTAAACGAGTCGATAATGTATGTATTTGTTTAATATCGTTCATTTAATAATTAAAAATCTATTGTTATTTTCTAGACGCTAACAAATTATGAATATTCTGTACAATCATCGTTAGTTCAACACGGTATGAATCGTTCTGATATGACTAGTGTTGAACATGTACAAGATATTCGTGAATTAGAAGAATTATTAAATGATAGTCTAGCTAAACAACGGGTAAGTAATTCAAACACTTGTCTCTCTTTCTTTCTTTCTTTCTTTCTTTCTCATCTTATTGTTCAATATGTTATGTTTTGTTACGTAGTATAAACAAAAATTAATGGTATTCATTGTTGGTCAAGCTGAACAAACAGCGGAAAAAGCCAGACTTCTTCAACAAATAAATCAAGTATATTTAAAATAAAGTCAATTGAAATATTTTCTATTATATTGTTTTGTTAATAGTTCTTTTATGAACAAAAACAAAGTTTTAATAGTGTTGAATTTAAAAATTATGATGATCAAGGTGAAGCACTAGATGATATTGAACCGGTTACATTTGATGTTAAAGATTGTTTTATACACGTCAAAACATTGGGAACAAGATTAAATGAGCTAAATGAAGAAATTATTCAGTTTTTAATACAAAATGTAGGAACAAAACAAACAAAGTAAGCGCAACTGTTCGAATGTCTATGGTGAAACCAACTGTAGTAAACTTTTTATATGAAAAACTCTTTTTCTCCTATTCGACAGGATGCTTGTGGAAAGGTAAAATATAAGTGAGATAACAGGATGACGTATGTAATTGTAGTCATTGATGTAGAGCTTTTCGTACATAGTTTTCGTTATTAAATGTTGTATTCTATCTGTCGTACATAGCACCATTCATTTTCTTCATTAGATCAACAATTGTAAGTTCACTTACAGTTCAACTGCCGGTTAAATAGTTTCATTTTTATCAATGCATACAAAATACAGCGGAAGATTGAATTTTTGAAGCGCTATTAAACGTCATACTTCAGTTTCATAGAATTTTTGTTAGTAACGGCTGATGAATTGCTTGAAAATTATTTTAGTTTAAAACAAGTGAACTCTTCTACAGTCAAATAAAGTTCTACAGTATTGGAAATAAAATGAAAGGTAAACGCCACTGTAGCAAGTATAATGAAGATATCACACATCTGCACTTAGTTAAAAAAAAAATGAATAATTTGCACAAGAAAAAAATAGTTCGCGTGTGGTAGAAACAGTGAACAATTATGAACGATAATTTTGAAAATTATTCTACAATAATTTGTAAGACAGTGGAAATAATCATTCACTCTAAAACTGTTGGTGTTGTTTACAGCACTTATGTTACGCTATCAATGAACACAATCAAGTGTTACTATCATCGTGATAGAATTCTAAATTTTCTTTCACATTTGATATGCACTATTTGTCTTCAGTCCTTTTTTAATCGCAGCAATCAAGTACTCTATCGTTTTTGTAGGGGTAAACGAAAACTCGAAAAAATGTCAAAAGAAGCAAAAGAACAATTACAAGATTTACAAAATAAATTAGAATCAGCAAATTCAGGTATGAGTGGAATATTGATCTGTATTTTAGTATATTCCATGAGCAAAATGTCTGAAATGAACATACGTTAAGTTTTCTTCATGTACAACTTTGTGCCGAAATAACGATATCTCATCATTCAGAGACGTGAAGAATGTTCTTCCCGAACTTTACATACCAAAGAAGCGTTCGAGAACTATCGTTTTTTTTTCTGAGATAATTTTATCATGCATGATTACACATGAAAGTCTGTATATTTCTGCTCATGAACTTAGAAATGACAGCAAAAGAAACAAAGATTCAACAACTTCTCGAGACAATTGAAACAGTAAAAACGGAAAGCAAAACAAAAATGGACAATCAAGTAGTTTAATGATAGTCATAATTATTCATTGTTACCTTAAAATAACCCATTCTTTTTTCAGAGACAAATACAAAAAGACGAAGTTCAACGAAAAGAAGTTGAAATAGCTTATTACAAAAAACGTGTAAAAGAATTTGAAGATCAAATTAAGAAACAAATGGGTACTGACGAATCACAGTCAGATGGTGAACGACATGTAAATTAGTGAATCGAATTATACGAGCTCTATTTTGACAATTCATTGTTCAAATTTTAGGAACTTGAAGAAAATTCCTTGACAAAAATAAATCGTAAGCTCGTACTATTTCCACTACAATGAAAGACTCTGTTGTTTCTTTTTTCTAGTAGAAACAATAGGCGAAAGCGATAACAAACATGATGATGAAACAGAATCTACTAGAATAATGGATATCAAAGAAAAAGGATCTGATAGAGGTTCTACGAATAGTCCAACAGCACAAACAGTAAGCCAGATACTATTGGTATAGATTTTGATCTTACGAAAAAAATCCAATGATACATCCGTCCTCGCAACAAGAACTAACAAAATATTATGTTAAGAATATAATCCAACCAAAAATCAGATTTTTAGACAGGAACAACAGACTATTTTTTATCAGAATCTCACAGGCTTTACTGACGTAGATATGAGGAGTTTTTAACATTATAATATCAGTTGAAGCTTCGTGAAATTGTCCATATTCTGCACCAGAGAACAGATCCTAGTAAAATCCCTGTGAGTTTCCAGACAGGATCCGCGACATATTCTACTAAGATTTCGCTTTAATTTCTTAGGTTCCTAATAAAACCATATGGAACCCTAATGAGCTCAGGTATATCCGAAAGTCTTACGATTTTCTAAGACTTTGTTAGGATCCTAAACAAACTTAAGCGAAACCCTAGCAGAATCCTAGCATTTTAGGATCCGGCTAGGAAGTTATTCGGTGGATTCTAAATATTAGGATCCTGTAAGATTTTGCTAGAAAATAGACAAAAACTCTTCTAAACAGCTCGTCTATACTCAGGCAGGTGTATTATATATATATTCTCTAAACCGAGAACTCACACATGTACCGATATCCATAAAGTGTGATGATCACTCTCGTTTTCTTTCATGTGTCTTGATAATGTCCTTTGAACGTGATATGTTGATATATCATGTGAGAGCTACTAAAATGGATCTATAGTACTCCGAATAGCGAGTTTAAAAAGATGAACTTAGCAGCAATGATAGGTTTCTATTGACGACTATCACTTTTCGATCAAGAAGGATTTAACATTCATTTTAAAAAGTCGGTTGCGAGATAGTCGGTTCAATTCGTCTTAATATGTGACGAAAGAGTATAAGACGGATGAGAAAGAAATAAGATGGACGAAACAGAAATATCGATAACATAAGCTGGATATTTTTCAGAGTGTTCACTTAGTCCTTCTCACAAGTTAGACGTAGCATTAATTATAGTTGGTATTTTTTGTCATTTTGACATAGTTTCCTTTTTAGACAAAAATAAGCTTTCCAAATTATGTCAAACGTAATACTTCAGAGTTGGAGGCATTTTCTTAATAATCATAATGATCCATTATCTTTTATTCGGCTCATGTTTTTTTATAGAATGCTAATAGAGTTCCTGAACAAATTAAAATAGTAACAGCCTCACAAGTACCAGCAGCTGCTCCCCCGGCAGTTGTTGTTCCAGAACCGATTAAAAAAGTAAGCGAGGGTACTATGCTTTCATAGAAAGCATATGAATTCTAACTAAAAGAATTCACAGTACAACTCTTTTTTCCGTAGAAAAAAGTCAAAATTAAAGTAAGATGAAGATATTGAATAGAAATTCAGTGTTGTATACGCTTCATGTATCTGTATTTTATAAGTGCTTAGTTGTCAAGTGTACATCAGTCTAAATACTTTCACTAAATGTTCTTTCGTATTTTGGATAAATGTGTATTGCAATGTGTCAGCTATACTAAGAACTATGTATGACTCGTCTTATTATCATTTTTAATTAGGAAAAATCAAAGCGAACTCCTTATCGTTCAAAGAAAGAAGTATGTTTAGTTTTAAATGAACTGTCTTTTTTAAATCTAACACTATTTTCTCATTTAAGGATCGTACTAATCAAGGAGCTGAAGATCCAAGTGAAGTTTATCGTCGCGGACAAGAAATATTAGAATCATTATTAGCTGATAAAGAAGGTGCACCGGATTTAAATAAATTGTTAAATGTTAAACATGGTACAGATCTTAATCATGTATCAATTGATAGCTTACCTACAGCATTTACAAACTTACGAAAATATGTAAGAATTAATTTTAAAACAAGAATTTTGTCGAAATTGTGTTCTTTTTTTTTTCTCAACATATATTATGTTATTGTTTCAACAGGCTATTGCTCGTGTAACCGAATTGATAAAAGAATTGGAAACAAAAGAAAATTCAAACAAGGAAACAGTACAAATACTAAAACAAGAATTTGTTGAACATAAAGTACAATATGACAAGGTAACAGTATTAAACATACACACACAAATTGCCTTTCTTTTTTTCCAATTTACCTTTTTTCAGAATAGAAATTAAAAATTTTTTTTTCGTCGAGGATCTGTTTATTTCCTCCAATGAATTAAAATTGTTGAGATAGGCTTAAAATTGTTTACACTTCTTGTTATGAATACTATTTTATTTTCCAATATTTATTTTCTTTATTTATGATATTATTTTAGGAGCGTTTACTCTTTTTTCTCAGTCTTAATCCTGATGATAATTGGCAAGAGGTTTGTTCGATACTCTATATTATGTATTTGCTTTTTGTATATATCATGTCAGTTGTGTTGCATCTCTGTGCTACATTCTTCTGTCTAAATTGTGTAATACATTCGAAATTATTACTTTAGGAACAAAATGAGTTAATGGAAAAAGCTGATATTGCTCATAAATTACAAATAAAAGCACAAAAAACAGCTGAAGACGCTTTAAGACAAATGGAAGGATTTATGGTTGAACAAGAGAAATTGGTGAGTATTCATTTTGCTAATGGCCAAAAAAAACCGTCATATCATTGTTAAATACAATTTCAGATTGATGCAGAAACGCAGACAGTAAGGACTTTAGAAAGATTTAAGTGTACTAGCAAAACTAACTAATTGACTAACTCCACAACATTTCTACAAGGTAGTTTTATCTGCCATTAAAGATAAACTAAAAGCAATAATCGGCGCGTTTGTTAGACAAGCTAACATATACTGCTTATTCATTAATTAATTATTTTTATCCGAGACTAGAAATTCTTAACAGCTACACAGCAGAGATGGGTTATGAACAGTCTTTTGCTTCTTCGCAAGAATCGCTCCGTAAACTTCCGTAAAGAAAAGAAAATCTTATAAGATTTCTTTCTGCCAAAATTCAAGAAGATCGTAATCACCACTGTTTTTGTTTTCTTCATCCACATCTTGCTCACTCGGTTTGATAAGTTTCAATTGTACATATTTTTCTAATTCAACTTGATTCACTATTCGTTGTTTAGAAGAATTTCTACTGGGGATAGAGTTTAAGTTTCAGTTACACCCGCTATCTTTGTTTTCTATTGCTTATTTCTTTCGCAATGCTAAGCATAACAAGTGTATTCATGATCATCTTATAACACAGTTTTGTTAAGAATCCGATGATTGTTGTTTCTTTTTTTAAGTAGATTAGTTATAACTGGAACATGTATATTTTTATTTTGATATCAGAGAATCTGTTAAAAGAGTCTAAGAGCTAAAGAGCTTACCGTCACTTAAGGAAACTGTACTGCATACGGTAGATAATATAGACGCACAAAATACGCATATTTTTGTCGTTTTATGTGTTATTCAGAAAAATTCTAGTCAAATTCCTTTCTTCGTAACAAGAAAAAGATCTCCCGCCGGATTCTTCGTGAGCTTCTTCCCTTGCCATCGCCCTGTGCCTCGTCAAGTTTCCAAAAAATCTTCCTCCTGTTTAGGATCAACAAGACGTTGCTCGTCAAATTGATATCATTCGACGTCATTCGATCGCTCTTAACAGTGTGTCAAAATCACCTGAACATGCCACCGATATTGTCGAAGAAATTGGTAATGATAGATTATCACCACATCCAAAGGTAAGACTCATTTACTTTTTTGACATAAGCCAAGAGTACTATTGTTCAAACTCTAAAGCGTTCCAAAACACCACAATGGCCAAAATTGTCAGTGAGTGGTGGACAACAACAAGAATTACAAACACAAGGACAGGATAGTAAACGTTCAGTTTTTGAAACAGCACAATTACTCACACGTTTGAACAGTACACATAATTCACCTCCAAAACAATTAGGAAATGATTCTACTCCACCATCTCCCGTTATCACTAAAAGTTTTTTCCGTAAAAAATCATCCGATCAACAAGATCAAGGTTCACAACAACTCACTGTCAATTCATCGACGGTCGCATCAAGACGTATTAGTATGGCTCTCAATGATGAAAATATTCCATCATCAAAAACAATCACACCTCAAGGTGCTCATGAACGTACTCCACCATCACGAAATATCAGTCGATCAAATTCATTTAATCCAAATAATCGTACATCATCATCATCCGGTGATCGATCCTATTTTGCATCAGCTTCACAAAGTAGACGACCATCAATTTCATTTCATAAATCACCAGTTAGAGCTGAAGAATTAGAACGTTTATTAACGAAGGTATCCGATCGATGCATATGATATTTGATGTTGTCGTTGTCGTAATTGTCCATTCGTTGCTTCTTTGTAAAATTGTATTATTTTCTTGTAATTTCTCTAGTCGCTGACAAATCTTATGTTAATCGTATAATATCATTTTGTTTGTCGCATCTAGGTTGTCAATGATGAAATTGAAGCATTAGAAGAATTTCGTCAAACATCTGTAAAAAGTCGTACATCGTTACGCGAAAAATACATGTCCTTACTTGAAGAGAAAAAAGCCGAATTAGATGATTTAAAACAACAAGCCGATAATACCCTATCTCGTCCAGCAACAACATCAACACGTGAACGAAAACCACTTGAATCATTAGAAAATAGTTTAGGAAATGGTAAGATGTTCCTGCTATTGAGAAACACTCGTTTATTTCTCTTGCAATTCTAGAAACATTGAAGCATGAACAAAAGCAACAATCGTCACCGTTAGAGCAGAGTATTGGGAAAGAAAATGGTAAATATGATCAATGTTTCCTTGATAATATTCCTAATATTTAACTATATGTTCATTTTTAGAAATAGTCAAATCCGAAGAACAACAGCAATCAGAACCACAACCTTTAGAAACTGTTATAGGAAAAGAAAACGGTGCGGTTTAACTTTTCATTTTCGATAAAATACTAGATGTATTTTTCTATATTTTTAGTTCAAGTGAAAAACGAGCAACCACCTCCAATCTTAAAACGTGAACAACAACAGCAAACATCAAGGCCATCTACAGCTAAATCGCAGAAAGATCTGTAACTAGATTTTAATTCATTGTTACACACATAATTTCATATATATATATATTTTTCTTTCAAAGACCCGTTCGAGTTGACATGGTGAAAATTGATACATTCAAATATCCATTTTTTCAAGTCTATGAGAATATTTATAAATTTCGAACTAGTGTTACAAAATTATTAGAAGAGAATAAGTTCAGTTCACTATCCGATCGATTATCATTCGTAAAAAAATTATCATTCGATGATTCTAATGGTTCAAATATGAACGATATTACAGATAATGCTGATCAAGTACTAAAAGATACCGTGAAAGTTATTCAATTATGTTTGAATACTTTAAAACAATCATCAACACCATCAACACCATCTAGAAAAGAAAATGAAACAGATAAATTATTTATATCAGCGAATAGTCAACAACAACAATCATCGTCGTCTTCCATGGAAAAACAAGATAGTGAAAAAGATAAAATTATTCAAGAATTAAAAGCCAAATATGATGCAATTAATGATTCATTATATGAAACAGATAAGAAACATGAAGATGAACTAAAGTAAGAGTAATTCTACTTATAAATAATGTTTTATTTTCACAAACTAATTTATTTTAGACAAAATGAACGAGTAATGCTTGATTTACAGAAGATGGTACAAACACTGCAGAAAGAAGTGGCAAGATTGCAACGACGAATATCCCGAACAGATGTTGAAGGATTAGTTGAACCATCGGTGTTGTTCACACGACTTGATGCCGAAAGAAATAATCATACATTAAAAAATGCTGTTAACAAAGGAAAAGTACCGGAAATAATATATAATGTATGTTTCAATAATAGATTTTGATAATGACCAGTTTAATTCTCGTCTTGTTTTTTACTGTTACATCATTACTTCTCATATAGGAACTGAATGATAGTATGTCGGATTATGTTAGTCTTCCAACTCAACAATTTGGAAATTTAGTTAAAAAGTATATTCAACAACGAAAAGTCAGTGAATTAGAAAGTATGTGTTTTAATCAAATTTTATATCGATAAAAACAATATTTTATATTTTAAGATCGTATTCGAAATGAACCGTTAGATAATGAGACGAAAAATGTTATAGAAAGAATGGAATCGTTTCATGAACGAGTAGGTACTTTTTGTTGATACTAAATTCATATTATCACGAAGAAAATTTAACTTTATATAGCGTAGTGGTCAAATAAGTGAAAAAATATCGAATATTCGACAACATCGTGTTGATTTAGCAAAAAAAATGACGGAGAAGTTTGATCATTTAGAAAAAGAAAATACTATATTTTTAATTCGACCCATCTATTCGTATCAAGGTAGAGCAGCTGCACAAACATTTATGAAACGGGAAAAACATCATCGTGAAATGATTAGTAAAAAAAGTAATAAAATGAATGATCGACTTGATCCATCTGAACTTACGGAAACAATACAGTCTGACGAGGAAAGTCATCGTAAAACAACGACGAGGGTTCAAACATTCAATTCATCCGAAGACGATGATGAAAGACTATGGCATGTGAGTAAAAAAATATTCAAAATTCAAAAATAAAATGTTTTGACTAAATGTCATTAATCCATGCATTTAACTGTAGATGGATAAAAGTTTTGGACAAACTCCAGCAAGTCAAACATCAACGGATCAAGATAAAACATACTCAAATTTAACTGAGATACCAAAATTAGTTGAATTAGATGTAAACAAAATGATGATGCCACATTCTCTCGTATCAACGTCATTAAATCAACCAGCAACAGCTGATTTAACAGTTCCATCGCTTAATCTACGCTCATACATGAACTTATCAAGACCTGTGAACGGACGTATAAATACAAATCAGGAACCACGTGAAAGCGCCGCCTCCGTTGCATCAGGTGAAAAACGTTTGATATAAATTTCATTTTGACTAACTGTGATTTTTGTTCTTTTTCTATCAGCATTAAGTCGCACCACTAATCCTCGTACACCGTTCAATTCAACCGTTGGTACAACCAATATGATCGATATTCGTCGAAGTAGTCCTCCTCTACCACCGATCGGTGGAATAAAAGCATATACGAACTCAAGTGCTTCTACAAATAAACTCGAAGAAAGTAAGTTAGTTCTTCTGTCATTCAAATTTTCATTTCAATTTTCTGACACTTTGTTTTTTTCAGATCAAGATGAATTTCTACCAAGTGTAAGCAACGTTACAGATGATTATAAATTAAACAAATGATCAACATAATGAATAATTCGTTTCTTTGTTGAATTTTTTTATCTGTGTGTGATATATCTTATAAAGTCTGATTTTTCTTATTTTTTTAATTTTTCTCTGCTGTAATCCGAGTAACTCTAATGTATAGTCTTTTAACTAAAAACGTTGTGTGTGTACATTCACATCTGAAAACAAATGCTTTCTGAAAAACTGTTTTTGATTTGGCAGCCCGTATTTATTTTTTTGTATACTCTTGGTGATTTAAAAGTGAGACAATAAAGCGTGTGATTAAATTCTACTTTAATTTGCAATGTTTTAGTTATGGAGCTCATGGGATATTGTATTCGAAGAGCGTAAATAACTCATTTAATCGATTTGTCCATTTAGATGTCTCTTTTGAGATTAACTCAAAGTTGTTCGCTATTGTAGAGCCAGAGAAAAATATATCATTAGAATCGCCGTATTTTTTACCGTAGGACATCTATAGCTTTTGTATCACTTTACATTTTCATCCGCAATTTTTACTGTACCCTACACAGTGTGCATCAGCGCTATCGATTAGGGAGTGGCAAACCACCCCCTCATCTGGATACAGTTACGTAAAAAATTTTGACTTACTCAAACTTTTTAAGAAATTTAAGTTGAGAAACTGCCTTTTTTGCACCTGAGTGCCTTTTTTGCATCTGAGTGCCTTTTTTGCACCTGATTTTCTCTAGGTACTGAGTAACTCAGTTATTCAGAAAAAAACTTTAGTCAAAAAGTACGTTACTCAATAAAATCTTTAGTTACCCAGCAGGCTCGCCACCAAGGAGGAAAAAACAACACTACACTACACTACACTACACTTTTTCCACTACACCCCACTACAAGTCCACTACACCCTACTACATGTCCAATACACCCCACTACATGTCCAATACACCCCACTACACCCCACTACATCCTACTACATGTCCACTACACATTCATTACATGTAGTGAAAATTCCTAAAAGTGAGCAAGAGCGACAATAAAATATTTCTAGTGGACAATATCAATGCTAATAGCTTGTCTTTTCGTTTATTTCTGTATCCGTGATATAATAATCCATTGTGAATCAGTAGTCATTTTGCAACAAAAGAACTCGTTTTCTAATGAAGTTTTGACTAGACAAATAA